CCTTCACTGGTTGGATCATGTCCAGATCTTGCCTTGACCGGTTGGATCATGTCCAGATCTTACCTTTACTGGTTGGATCATGTCCAGATCTCCCCCCCCCCCAAGGCCGCCACCTTGTCGTGGTGGGGGGGGGCCCGAGGCGCTCCACTAGGGGGCGCCCGCGAAGAGCGGTCCTGTCGCGGTGGGCAGCTGCGCCGCGTACAGTATCAGGGTCGTCGGGGCACTTGTCCGGGCCTTACAGCGAGGGATCGACAGTGTCGGTTCCAAGCACACCGTTACCCCTCGCGCTCGTTATGTCATGTCTATGACGATGCGCGAGGGAGCGGGGACCTTGGCTTAACCGCCTGGGTCGCGAGGAAGGAAAACCTCAGAAAAAAACCCTGAATTTCAAGCCTTGGACCGCGGTGAGGAGATGCATGGCCACCAGGTACGGTTGGTCGCTAGCGGTCCGCTATCCCCCCGGGTACCTGGCGCCCCCCGGGGAGTATCAGCCACGCTCGGGCAAGGGAGCTCTGCCTGAAGCGTAAGTTATTTCTCGCCATACTTGTGGGATCAAAATGGAGACTACTGAAATTCAAAAACCTCAATTTATGCCGCAAGGCCGGGAGAGCGGAGAGGCTGACTCCGATAACGCTCGACCGCATAAAAAGGAGTCAACTGAACAGCATGGCCTAGAATCTTCACCGCAATGTACGGTGTTGCAGGTCGATATTGCTGGCGCTGAACCACCTTCAGTGCCTGCAACGGTCGCTCTAGAGAAAGAAATCGAGGCTGAGGAAGCTCAACTTCCTGAGCTGGGAAATACGATCCCCATCCTGGGCCTTCTCACAAGCGAAACACTCGCCGAAGGGGAACGCGCCGAACCGGAAACAGCAGATTGCATGAACACAGCTGAGGAGTTTGGGAACCTTATTGTGCTAGGGGAGACCCCCCTACCTCCGAGAAAAAGGAAGGGGGATTCCGTCGTTGTCAGCAGCGATGGAAACAAGAAAACAGAGGAAGAGGACTGCTTCCGTCCACCTCTCCCGAGATGTCAGGACACTAACACCGGGAGGCGATATACGTCTTTCGAGGACACGGATGATGATACACCACTGGTGTACAAGCTCACGGGTCCGGTTGCGGGTACACGCAACCGGTGCAAACACCGTGAAGGGTTGAAAAGCGGGGCACAAATTGTCTCCTCAGACGAACACGAGGCGAGTGAAGGCAAACAAGAAAGGAAAGTAGCGCTGCCCAGAAGGAAACGAAGGAAAGAGGAGATGGAGAAGGAGAATGGAAAGGACAACGGTCAACAGGACTGGGATAAAAATAAGGATGGGACAGTAAAGGACCCCCACGCCACTGCAAGTAATACAGGGGCAGAGGGCCAAGGGACAGAAAAGGAAAAGGAACCGGCAATTGCAAAGGACGGAAAGAGGAAGGCAGGAAAGGGAAAAAGGAGGGACTCATCCCCCTCTCCCGAACCGGCAAGGGAATCACTAGGTCCGCCCAAATATGACCAAATGGCGGCCGCGGATGTCGGAGCGACTGCACTGGAATGGCTGGACGAAGTGGAAATGATCCGTACAAAGTCTCCCAACATTCAGGGACGTCTTAGTGGTCAAATGAAGAGAAACATTGCCAAGCTTAAAGACTTGGTATATACGCTGGTTGGCAAGGTGGAGGCTGTGGGCGATCCCCTTTACCTTAGGATGCGCAACAGAGAGTTGTCGCTGGAACTGGACACATTAAGAACGCAATGTGAGAGTAACAGGAGGGATCTGGAGGTAGCCAACGAACGTATTAAAGAAATCGAGAGAAGAAGCAGTCAACCGAAGACGAAGGGAAAAGGTGGAGTCGCTAGGCCAGGAACAACGCCGGATCTTAGCGCTAGGACGAGAGTCATTGACGAGCTGGAGGAAGCCGGAATGGCCAACGGAAAACCCATTAACAAGACTGAGTTGATGGAATGCGAACCACTCCGCCACCATCATCAATATCATGAGGGGGAGGATAACACGGTGCTCAGGCCTCCTATCAAAGGGGTCAGCGCGCCTCTGCCGGCCCCAAAGACCGCGTGCGACTCCTCAGATGAGGAGCGCACGCGGGAGATAGAACTATCACGCCAGATCTCTGAGTTGATAAAAACCAGACGAGACGTCAGGAAAAGGTTGAACAATGTAGGGATTGACAAGGGCAGAAAGTCGGAGGAGACATGTAAACGCGGGGATTTCGATCCCCCCCTGAATAAGACGGAGGGGAGCCTTAAGGCCCGTGCCAAAAATGGTCCACGAATCATTTCAATGACTCAGATTACCACCCCCTATCGAATAAAGGAGTACTCATCACTCCCCGCAGTTGTGAAGGAGGGGCAAAATGGGGAAAAGAAAGAGGAAGGAGATAAAGGCACCTGGACAAAGGTCAGGAGGAGGGGGGGGCGGGCGAGAAAAGGAAAATACTGCAAAAACAGAGTCGGTGTCCAACAATAAATCGGAGAGAAATGCCGATAGCCCGAACAAGAAAGTGGAGAAAAAAGCGGGGAAAGAGCCTAAGGCCATACGTAAAGAGGGGAAGGGGAGCGGTAAACCCGCAGCTGCTAAACCGCCGAGACGCAAAGTGCCCAAAACTGCGGCGGTGACGATTACGGGACGCGACGCCGGCTTCTCGTATAGCGATGCGTTGAGAACGGCCAGGGAGAAAATCTCCCTGGCTGAGCTCGGAATAGAGCAGACTAGGATCCGCAGGGCCGTCAACGGTGGCGTGCTGATTGAGATCGGCGGTACCGAGGGGCCGGCCAAAGCGGAAAGTTTGGCCAGCAGGCTTAGCGAGGTGCTCGGTCCGGGCGCGACGGTCGTCAGACCCACGATCAAAGACGACCTGAGAATAGTGGGTCTGGACGATTCTGTGACCACGGATGAAGTCCGCTGCGTCCTGGCGGACGCGGGGGAATGCACCCCGGAACAAATCAGGACGGGCCCGATAAGGACGCTGTCCAATGGGCTCGGCACTGTATGGGTCCAGTGCCTGTTGGCTGCGGCGATACGACTGACCACAGCCGGAAAAATTAAAATAGGATGGACCGTGGCCAAAGTTGAGGCGCTTAAAGCTAGACCGCTGCAGTGCTACAGGTGTTGGGAGTTCGGGCACGTCAAGCACGGTTGCAAATCTGCTGAGGATCGCACCAAACTGTGCTACAGGTGTGGACAGGAAGGTCACGGTGCCCGAAGCTGTACGGCCAGTCCGAGATGCGTCGTGTGCGTGAAGCACGGAAGAGACGGCAACCACAGACTCGGCACGAGTCAATGCCAAGCCGTGAAGGATAGGTTAAATAGGGGCCCGGATCGGAGGACCGGGACAGCGCAGGAGGGTAACTACGACAATGGCCCTAAAGATCCTGCAATGTAACTTAAACAGGAGCTGGGCTGCTTATGACCTGATGGTCCAGCAGGCGGCCGAAATTGGTGTGGGGCTGTGCCTAATGTCGGAGCCCCCTAAGATTGGCGATGCCCTACAGCGCTACGGTAGCAAAGGTGGGCTGGCTTCTATACAATGGTGGCCAGACCGAATGCCGAAGGGTAAGGTAGGCTCACTGGTGACAAGGGGCCACAACTTCGTTGCCGTCCGAGTTGGGGACTGGCTCCTGGTGGCCTGTTATGGCCTCGCCCAACGCACCACGTGGCGAATACCTTGAATTCCTCGATGAGCTGGAGGAACTTGTACAGGATAGGCGGGCCTCCCGGATAATCATCGGCGGAGACTTCAATGCCCGTTCCGGGGCCTGGGACCCGCGGGGCACCAACGGCAAAGGGCCTCTTGTTGAGGAATGGGCTGCGGAGCTTGACATGCGTCTGATGAACGAAGGTGAGGCCCCCACCTGTGTGCATCCGCGGGGAGAATCAACTGTAGACCTTACATGGGCAACTCCAGATGCGATTGACGCGCTATCCGGATGGACGGTCACGGACCATGAGACCCTGTCCGATCATAGGTACGTCATATTCCATCTCGGTATGCCGCGAACTCCGACGACAACTGCTGGGGTAGGGAGCAAGCGGTGTCCAGGATGGAATCTGAGGAAACTCGATCGGAAAGTCGAGAAGTTCACTGCGGCTCTGGAGTGGAGCGGACAGGAGGAGCCGCGGGAATCAGAATCGCCGGAAGCGCTAGCGGACTGGTTACAGGCCAAGATCCAGGAAGCGTGTAACTTAGCGGCCCCCAGGTCGGGTAAGCGCCGGAATGCACACCGGACGTACTGGTGGAACGACGACATTGGGGCCCTGAGAAGGGAATGCGTCAGCGCCAGAAGAGCGCTCACAAGGCTCAATGCCAAACGCGCAGCGCGCCGAAAGAAGCAGAAACAGATCCCCCCTAGGGTCCCGCAGTGCAACGGCAATGACAGGAATGCTGATGACAAGGAGGAGGCGAGGCAAAGGCTAGAGGCCAAAAAAGTATATAAAGAAGCCAAACGAAAGATGCGCATGGAAATAAGGAAGTCCAAGATCATGGCATGGCAGGCCCTAATTGATACAATCGAGTCTGATCCTTGGGGACTACCATATCGGCTAGTCCTTAAGAGGCTGAAGAAAGCGTCACCCGCGAATACGGAAGGACTTGAGGTGAATGCTCTCGACCGAGCATTGGATAAGCTCTTCCCTGCGGGCAAAAGAACCGAGTTTGATAAAAATTACTCGGCGACGACCGTGCTATGGCACGAAGGACTGAACTTCACCGAAGAAGGGGTCAGTATGACCATTCGTGGAAAATCAAGCCGGAACGCTGCGCCGGGTGTGGACGGGATTCGGGCGGCGGCATGGAAAAAAGCGCCTGCGTGCATTATCGCCGGGGTGACTCGGTGTTTTAACTTATGCTTGAAGCAGGGGGTCTTCCCGAAGGTATGGAAGAGGGCCAGATTAGTGCTCATCCCCAAGTCATCCAAGGGGAGCGGCAACGTCGGAGAGGATGCACAAGCGTGTAAAATGAGGCCGATCTGCCTGCTCAATGAGCTTGGCAAATACTTCGAGCGGATGCTGGTGGACCGGCTTCTACTCTGGATGCGTGAGAATCCGGGGGCGGACCTATCCGAGAACCAATATGGTTTTAGGAGGGGACGTTCCACGTATGACGCGCTCCTAAGGGTCAAGCGAACCGTGCAGGACAGCCTGGGCCGAGGCGAAACTGCGATAGCAATAAGCCTGGATATCAGGAATGCGTTTAATTCACTCCCATGGCCATGTGTACATAAGGCGCTCAACAAGAAGGGCTTCCCGGCGCACCTGAGGAACATTGTGGGGGACTACCTCGCCGACAGGTGGGTCGAGTACCCGGTGGCGGACGGCAAGATGGGCGAGCGCCGGGTCACGGCGGGAGTACCGCAGGGCTCGGTGCTTGGTCCCCTATTGTGGAACCTGGCGTTCGACTGGGTTCTGGAAACGCACAAGGTGGAGGGATGCCAGGTGATCGCCTATGCGGACGACACCCTCGTCCTGGCCACGGCGGAAGGCGCCGAATTAGCTGCAACACGAGCTAACCTGCAGACCGCGCTGGTTGCGGGCCGCATTCGGCGGCTGGGACTGAGGCTTGCCGCGGAGAAAACTGAGGCGATACTCTTTCACCCTCCTCGGAAAAAACCGCGCAGTCTCTCATCAATCCGGGTGGAGAACGAGATGATTCAAACAGGAAGTACGCTGAAATACCTGGGCGTATTCCTGGACGGTCGGCTGACCTTTGCGCATCATCTAGAGTATGCGGCGGGCAAGGCAATAAATATGGCAAAGGCGCTTGGCCGCCTTATGCCCAATTTGAGAGGACTGCAAGAAGAGAAAAGAAGGCTGTACGCGACGGTGGTATTGGCGGTCGCCCTGTACGGGGCACCTCTCTGGAGTGAGGCGGTTGCGGCGCCGGCGGCATCGTCACCGGCGCAGAGGCGGGCCCAGCTACCGCTGCGGCGCATGCAAAGATTCTTGTGCCTCCGTATCATCGCCGCCTATAGAACGGTGTCGTTCGAGGCTGCTACCTTGTTGGCGCGTGTGCCTTCCCTCTATATCCTAGCGGCGACGTACCGTCGGATATTTGAGGGGGTGCGGGATGCGAGGGCAAGGGGCGACTGGTCTCCGAGAACCGAAGAGGAGATCAGGCGGGGAGAACGAATACTCATGACGAAGCAGTGGGCTATGCACCTTGCGAGCGACAATCTGTCCGGGGCTCGAGTGCGCGAGGCCATCGTCCCCATACTGGGTGACTGGCTTTCAAGGAGACACGGCAGGCTAGCCTTTCGCCTCACTCAGATGGTCACTGGGCACGGATGTTTTAGAGAATATCTGAATCGGATTGGCAGATCCGATACATCAGTGTGTCCGAGTTGTGGCGACGCGGCGGACACTGCGCAGCATGCGCTGCAGTTTTGCACGGCATGGCGCGCGGAACGTGAGGAGCTGCGGGCAGCGGTTGGGGGGGACCTCTCACTCCCGAGCCTTGTCAAGACGATGACGACGAGTCGGGCGGCCTGGGATGCGGTGGCGAGATACGCCACCACCGTCATGAGTGCCAAGGAGGAGGCGGAGAGGCAACGAAGACGAGAGAAAGAGGAGGAGGAGCTGAACGCGTCTCGGACTGCGGTTCCTCCAACAAGAAGGAGGGGCCCCCCGCTGCCGCTATAATGCGGGCTCCGGGAGGCACGGACGGTTGACCTGTGAGCGGGCTGATCGGCTGAGCGCCCCGCTTCCATGCCGAGTTTTAATCTACATTAAATTTAATTCTAAGTACTACCGCACATTAAGGTAATTCAATTTTAATTGCTGAATGCTGCGCGCGCGGGTGCATGGTGTGTACTTGCTAAAGAAGGGAGGGACTGAGTGAATTTGTCGACGTGAAGTTGTGAGTTATTATTTCGACGTCTATATACAGCCTATTTTATTTAATAAAACAATACAGGCGCGCGCTATTTAATAATAAAAAAACAATTAAAAATAATAGTAAAAGTAAAAGTAAATAATATTTGTTTCGAACGGCCTGAGGTGTAGAGCGGCTGGTTCGTAATGCCGTTGAACTTCCGTCGACTGCTATCTTCAATTGCGCGAGTATGGTGCGCGCTCTCCTATCCAGGAGCCTCGTCGGATGGTGTGAGGAAAGTGCGAGAGTGCTCTTGTGCATAAGAGCACGGCGTGGCCCAGTGAAGGACACGCTTGGAATTGCCCGGCGCCTCCGCGCTGGGAATGAATCCCCCCTTTCGGAGGATGATAGTCACTCAGAGGATGGAGACACTAGTCCGTCTCCTTTCGTGAGTGTCGGATCTGGTCCGAGGAGATTCAGCTCTGGTTGGCGAGGAAATAACAGAGGCTGAATCCGGAATGGTAGTCAGACGAGCTGAAGTCGCCTTCCTCAGTCGCGCACGCGGCACCTGCGATGCTTTGTAAGAACTCCGCAAGTGCAACACTGAATCGCGGACGCGGCTGTGTTGAAGCCTGACGGTGACGTGCAGGTCACTGTAAACGTGCGTTAATAGTGCCGTGTGCGTGACGATTGCTAAGTCTCGTCGCGGGGAGAAGCGAAGAGTCCTCGCGTGTTGAGTCGCGGATGCGACGATCGGTTAAGTCGTGAGTAGACTGGTACCGAACCTGGTTTGCGTACGTGCTGCAGTCCTGGCAGCGTAGCAATAGCGAGCTCGGCTTGCGTGAGCTGCGTCCCTGACAGCGACTAAGTCCGATTCGGACGTGAAGGCGAGTTTGACTCGCGTGTATAGGCTGCGTCCCTGGCAGCTGCTAAGTCCTAGGCGGACGTAAATGCGAGCGTGGCTCGCGTGTATATGCTGCGTCCCTGGCAGCGGAGCAATAGCGAGCTTGGCTCGCGAGAGAGCTGCGGTCCTGGCCGCAGAGATCTTAAACACAACTACGACTCGCGCGGAGTCGTGAGCTCAATTGTACTAAGTTCTGTTGGCGCTAATACCCGGTATGTAATACGGAAATGCCGCGAAGCGAGACGTCCACCGCGGTGGAGGCGTCCAGGTAATCCGACGAGATCGCGCGAAGCCTTCTCTCAATTCTCGATCGTATTGAGAAGGTGGAGATCTGTGGAGTTACCGTACACTGCGTACCACAGATGCCAATGTGTCCTCGGACACTCTCGAGGCGTTAGCCCAACGTGCAAACGTACTCTAAGGAGCTGCGGAGAGTTGTGTAGAATTGCCGAACTCTAACCACAAATGCCAACGTGTCTACGACACTCTTAAGGCAGTGAAGATCGATGCCGATATGCGAGTATACCTCTGATGAGGCAAATGCCCAACGTGCTGGCGCACTCAAAAAGGCAATATGTAGTTAGCTGGAGCGTAAAAGAATACCTGATGTGCAGTCAAGCTGGCAACAGGCAAGAGGCATAAAAGCTTTGAGTGGTCTCGCGCGGCGTCTTAT